TATATATACACACACACACATATATATATATATATACGTATATATACATATATATATGATCAGAATGCATATTCATCATATAGCATGCATTCTTTCTGTGTTCCCATTATAGTATACTATTTTTTAATATTTAGTGATCATGTTTGATTTGTGACTTTTGAATATTGACCTTCAAATGAAATTCATACCTTTTCATTAATAATACCTGTTATTTATGCAACTTTACAGTTTCTCACAAACAGCACTCTGATAAAGAAGGTAAGTCATGGATTATTGTTGCATTTTATGGAATAACAAATAGGCTGTTGGTTTTAAGATACTTCTGAGTCATACAACTGGTAAGTGGTTGCGTATATGTTGGATTGAGATTTAATGATTTTAGGTCAATAAATAGCTCTGCATGAGGAATGTAATCATTATGTACACGTGCCACAACCATGTACTAATAAAGTAAAAATTGGAAAAACTTTTGGTATTTTATGTACAATGTTGAGTTCATGATTAGAATATGGAGAAATACTTTCCTTTTCAGTCTAGTGGTGATTCTTCTTTTTGTTTGTTTTTATCTTTATAGTCCATGGCAGAAGTCCTTGCTAAAAAAGAAGAGCTAGCAGATCGTCTAGAAAAGGCCAACGAAGAGGCCATTGCTAGTGCTATTGCTGAAGAAGAACAGTTAACTAGGGAAATAGAAGCCGAAGAAAACAATGACATTAACATTGAAACTGATAACGACAGTGATTTTTCTGTGAGCATTTAGAATTTTTAACATAATTCTTCAATTATATACAGAAATAAAATGCTTAGGATAAGAGAGACCTAGAGTTCATCTAGTTCTACTTAAAATCATTTGTGTAAAAATAATTTTTATAATACCGATTATTATTATTTTCATGGTGATTTAGATATAAGCAATAACTAGTTTTAAAAAATGCATTACCAGGTCAGGGATTTAGCTCAGTGGTTGCTGCCATCTGCCTTGCAAGTGCAAGGTCCCAAGTTTGATCCCTAGTAAGTACCACAAGAAAAACAGAAAAAAATATATATATATTACCATTAATAAATAATTTTATGCATGTTGCAGTTAATGACTTGGAAGTTATTATTCTCATCTTACAAGTCAGGAAGTTGAACTGAAAGCAAAGACTCAGTGTTACCCAGATTGTCATTTTAGAGAGTAAGAATCTAAAGTATTTCACTTTTTATGTTTTAACCAAGAGAAAATGATACACTGCTTTGCTGTCAGTCTCATCATATACAAATTGGTGAAGGAAATTTGTTAAAGAGTAAAAGTAACCACAAGTTCTGCATTTCAAATATCCTTTTATTAAATTTTATGGCCAGTTAATAATCTGGAGCTGTGCTAGTGTGTGCTTTATGTACTATATGTTAGTGTTTACATAGTATAGGTTTACTTCATTTTTATCTATTAATAACTAGTAGGCAATTGAAATCTATGTGCCGTGGTATTTTAACTTGGTAGTTATTGTGATTACATAGGGTATGTAGCCTTTTTTCTGGTTTTAAACTGTTAGTTAAATGAAATATATTAAAAATATGTAGGTCAATTCATGTGTAACTTCTAAATAATTATGTCCAAAAATTTGTTTTTCAATTTCTCTTGTTATGTTTTAGGCCAGTATGGGCAGTGGGAGTGTATCTTTCTGTGGCATGTCTATGGACTGGAATGATGTTCTTGCAGATTATGAAGGTATTATTTGTGTGTGTGTGTGTGTGTGTGTGTGTGTGTGTTTTGTGTAGATTCTGTGGGGTACATTAGATTATCTTTTAAGCAGTTTCTATGTAAAGTAGAAATGTTACAGACTCTTAAAGCCTGTTTTCAAATGTTGGTTTTATAGAACTATGTGGTTAAACTGTAACAGTGTTTTTTTTTGTTTTGGTTTGATTTTTCTGAACAGCTCGTGAATCTTGGCGCCAAAATACCTCCTGGGGGGACATTGTAGAAGAGGAACCTGCTAGACCTCCAGGGCATGCAATTCACATGCATGAAAAACTTTCCTCACCATCTCGTAAAAGGTCTGGTGTTTGAGAATTAATTTGAAATGTTTCACAGGAGGGAAACCAGCCGTCTTTGACTGTTACATAGAGTTGCTACATAATTTTTTTTGGCACATGACTTTAGGACAGTTTGAGATCCACTGAAAAGTGACAGTGCTTTCCTAAAATGCTAGGTCAAACTGAGTTTTGTATACTTTAAGTTCTTTGAAGTCACTATTTTTAGCCTTATGTAAACATTTGTCTCTTATTCATTTGTTTTTATTAATAGAACAATTGCAGAATCTAAGAAGAAACATGAAGAAAAACAAATGAAAGCACAACAGTTAAGGGAAAAGCTCCGTGAGGAGAAGACTTTAAAGCTGCAGAAACTTCTGGAAAGGGTGAATTTTTAATTTTTTAGGAAATTGTGGTAGTCTGAAATCAGTGGGCTTATTTTCAAGTAGACATTTTTCTTCTTGTTTTAGAGAAGCTAAAAGAAGCATACAAATAATTACATTTGCTACAAAATAACATTTCTATCAAGTTTAAGGTTAATTGCTTTAAAAATTTCTCTTTGCTAAAATATCTAATAACTTGATATTTCACCATGTTGGCTTGAAGTTTTGAAGTAGTATGTCTTTTGTCACTTTTATTGGAAAGTTTCCTTGGGTGGGCTTGCCCAGAGTATGGAATGACCTCCTAGGACAGTTTTGAGATAGAGATTATTAGATTTCTTATGTGTATCTGGCCTTTGGCCAGTCCTGGCCCCTGCCACTGGCTTGGTTTTTTCTATTGTTAGTGTGCCTTTGAGTGTGTGTATAACCTCTTCAACAACGGAGGTACAAGTTACCTCCCTGGTCCCAGTATTTCAATTGTGTGCGTATTCACTGCTGGCCTTTACATGAATCTTGGAAAGTCTGAGAGTTGTGAGAATTTTTTGAACAATAAAAACAAACAAACAAACAAACAAAAAAAAAACTTAGCTAATCTAGAAACCAGAGAAGACTAAAAATCAGAAATGAAAGTACAGTCATTATAGTGAATGAGACAGAGATAAAATGAAATAATAAGGAATTGTTATAAGCAATTATATACCATCTCCAGTACTACCAGGGTAAGTTTGTTTTCTTTATGCATCATCCTGTCTCTAGTGATGGACGGAGATACCCATGTATGAAAAATCCGCAGCATCAGAAAAATTTAATTTAATATTTGGTAAAAGGCAAAAAGCCCACTCTCACTACTCTTTCCACCATAGTACTGAAAGTACGAAGAAAAGCAGCCATGTAAGTAAAATAAAAAGTTCAACAAAAAGTAGGGCTAGGGATCTAGCTCAGTGATACCTCTGCCTACCTCACAAAGGCAAGGTCCTGAGTTTGATTCCCCAGTACCAAAAATAAATAGATAAATAAATAAACAAACAGACCAGATGTAAAATTGTCTGTATTTGCAAATGATGCAATCATTCATAGGAAACTTAATAACCACAAAAACTGAGAAATAATATACAAATTCAGTAAAGTTTCAAGATATGCAATCAATATATAAAATATACATGTATATAAAAATCACAGTTACAAATGAACTATCTGAAAGGGAAATCAATAAAATAATCCTATATAAAGAATAAAATACTTGGGACTTAACCAAAAAAGGTTAAAGATTTGTTCGCTAAAAATAATAAAATACTGATAGGGGAAAATAGAAAAGACCTAAGTGGATAGGAAGATATTTCTTGTTCATGGAATGGAAAAATTTGTATTGTTACAGTATCTGCACAATCTTACACTTGATCTTAGCCAAAAGGCTAAGAAGCGATAGTATCCACACAATCTTAAGTAAACTACAGATTCAGTACAATCTCTATTAAAATCCCAGTGGCTCTTTTACCTTTTTTTTACATATGGAACAACAAATACAAAAATAGAAAAAATAAATGCTTAAATTCAAATGGAACCACAAAAGATCCCAGAGATAACTATCATAAAAACATACAGATGCTAAAAGGACATAATAAACAATGCAGAAATAAACAGCAGTTATGGCCAGTTGATCTTTGACAAGGATGACAGGAACACACAATGGGGAAAACTTAGTATTTCCAACAAATTGTGTTAGGAAAACCAGATCGCCACAATGAAAAGAATGAAATTAGACTGTACACAAAAATCAGTATAAAATGGAGTAAAACTTTAAACATAAGACTTGAAACCATGAAACATTTTGAAGAAAACATAGGGAATAACCTTCTTGACATTTGTCTTGGCAGTTGTATTTGGAATACGACACAAAAAACACAGGCAACAAAAGCAAAAATAGCCAAATAATATCACATCAAATTAAAACCCTCTGTACAACAAAGAAAAAAATCAACATAATGAAAAGGCAACTTACAGAATAGGAAAAAATACATGTAGGACTTATGTCAAATACGGCATTATGATCCAAATATTGAAGGAACTCAAATAATTCAATTGCCACAGAACAAGTAACCTAATTCAAAATGGGCAAAGGATTTAAATAGATACTTCTTCAAAGGAGAAATTCGAGTATGGAAAGGTCCTCATAAAAAAGCTGTGAGGATATCTCACCCCACTAGCATGTCTTTACAGAAAGGCAGAAGTGAGGTGTGGGTGAGGGTGTGCAGAAAGGGACCCCTTATCTGTCTCTGCTGGGAATCTAAACTAGTACAACCAGCCATTATGGTTAGCAGAATGACAATTTTCTCAGAAAAATGAAAACAGGACTACTGTATCATCTAGCAGTCTTTCTGGTACATAGTCAAAAGAAATAGTGTTAGAACATAAAGAGATATTTGCGCATTCTTGGTCCTTGTAGCACTATTCACAATAGCCAAGATATGGAAACAAACTGTTTGATGGCAGATTAATGAATAAGGAAAATATATATATATGGTATGCTTATGTATCTGCATCTGTTTATATAGATATAGCCATACTGTTGAGTATTAGAATAAAATTCTGCCACCTGTGGCAATATGGGTGATGCGAGAGAACATTAAGTCAAGAGAAATGAAACAAAAAGAACAAGTGCGTGCTCTTGCTTTATATGTGGAATCTGAATCAGTCAGATTCATAGAAGAAGAGAGTAGAGTGATGATTGCCAAAAGCTAGTGAGAGGAGAAAACACAATGATGCTAGGAAAGGGTAGAAATTTTCAGTTATGTCTGGTGAATAAATTCTGGAGATGGAATGTATACCATCTTGTCTGTAGTTAACTCAAATTTTAAAATATCCAAACACCGTAGGAAAAGGTGGGCTTATCTTAAAGATTTCCTCATAAGTATATATATTAATTTTTCCTAAAAGCAGAAAAAAGCCTGTTTGCCCTTCTGTTAAATTATTGTGTATTTTTAAATTGAGTATTTGATAATTTGCCATACGTAGGAGAAGGATGTCCGGAAGTGGAAGGAAGAATTACTAGATCAGCGGCGTAGGATGATGGAAGAGAAATTACTTCATGCTGAATTTAAACGAGAGGTGCAATTACAAGCAATTGTGAAAAAAGCTCAAGAGGAAGAAGCTAAGGTATATTATAAATGTTTCAAGCACTTAATCATTTATCCAAGTACTTGTTTCAGGTATTATATAATGGTAACAGAAGTTAATGTTTATCAAGTGTTTATTCTGTTCCAGGATAACAGAACATTTTACTGGCTCATTTAAAATTTACTAAGTACAATATCATATTTTATCCTTATAATAATTATACGAGCCATAAATATTTTCTACAGCTCTATTGAGATATAATTGACAGAATAAGCAGTACATACATTAGTCAATTTGATAGGTTTTGACAGGTGTATATCCCTTAAACTATTGGTACAATGAATGTAATAAGTCCTCTTTGTGATTTATTCCTTCCTTCAGCTCTGTTACTGTCCAGTTGCTCAACTACTTCCTTTTCTTTTTCTTTTCTTTTCTTTTTTTTTGAGACAGGGTCCTGCTTTGTAATTCAGGCTGGCCTTGAACTTACTACATAGCTCAGTTGGCCTTGAACTTGTGGTGATCTTCTTGCCTCAGTCTGCTGGGATTACAAGCATGTGCCACCATGCCTGGCTTATCTGCTTTCTATTGTTTGAATTTTCTAAAACTTTATATAAGTGGAATCCTATAATATGCATCCTTTCCTCTGGCTTCTTTCAGAATAATTATTTGAATTTTATCCATACTATGATGTGTATCAATACCTTTCCTTTTCATTGCCAAGAGGTCTACCATTGTATGGAAATGCTGTGATTTGTCAACCCAGTTACCTGTTAATGGACATTTGTTCTCTTCCCAGTTTTTTCTGTTAAAAATATAGCCCCTGTGAATGTCCATTTACTACTTTTTCTGCAGACATATATCTTCATTTTTCTTTTGTAAATATCTAGGAGTAGATTGGAAGAGTTATGGTAGGTTCATGTTTAACTTAAGAAAATAGTTTTTAAACTCATTAAACTATTTTATATTTGTACCAGCAGTGAATGAATATACTACATATAGGTATACTACATTTTGAAAGACACTTTACATAGTTACACATTTTAATTTTAGCCATTCCATTTTAATATGTGTATATCTCACATTTTTCCTATTTTTGTGTGAAAACACACATGAAACTATGTTAAGAACTATGGATATGCAATTCACTGATACTAAATAGTTATAATATTGTATAACCATCCACCCTCCATATTCAGAAATCTTTATCTTGTAAAATTGAAATGCTGTATTTATTAAACAGTAACCCTTCGTTCCTGTCCCCTGCCCCCTAACCTGTGATAACCACTTTTTTCCTTTCCAGTTCTATAAATTTGGCTGCTATATGTAGCTCATATAAGTGGAATCATACCATAATGTCTTGCAGGTCATCGGTCTTATAGCACCTGTCAGAATTCCTTCCTTTTCAAACTGAGTAAAATTCTATTGTATGTAATACCACATTTTGCTTATCTATTCATCCACTTGAGTTGGATGCTTGAGTTGTGACCACATTATAGCTATTGTGTATAATGATGCTATAAACATGAGGGTCAGTTAATCTCTTTGAGTCCCTGCTTTGAATTTTACCTGTCTTTTTAATAAATTGACTGTTTTTGTCTATTTTTTGCATTTTTTTTGTCTTTGGTGTCATATCCAAGAAGTCAGTACCAAATCCAGTGTCATAGCTGGGCATGGTGGCATATGCTTGTAATTCCAGCACTGTAGAAGTTGAGCAGAAGGATTGCCCAGAGTTCAAGGCTAGCCTTGGCTGCATAGTCAGTTCAAAGCCAGCCTACACAGCTAAGATTCTGTCTTTAAAAACATAGCACCAAACCAAACCAAACCAAACAAAACAAAAAAACAGATCCAGTGTAATGAAATTCTTCTCTTATATTTTCTTCTTATAGATCTTGCATTTAGGTCTTAGATCCATTTGAATTAATTTTTGCATATCATGTTACATAAGGTTTTTTTTCCCTTAGTGTTATCAGAGATTGAACCCCCTGGCCTTCACACTGATTTACATCCCCAGCCCTTTCTAGGTTTTTTGAGACAGGGTTTTGCCAAGTTGCTAAGTTGGCCAGGCTGTCATCTTCCTACTCTGTGCCAACAACATTCCATAGTTTTACTATTTTTACATTATTAAAATTTATTGCAACTTCCTGTTTCTCTGCAGATGTACATTCCTCAGTTTTAATTTTCTTTGCCAATATAAATGGACTCAGTGCTTACCAATCTTCCACTCCTGAGTTGTTTTCACCTCTGTCTTGGTTTGGTGGAGTTTATAAAGTGATCTCTTCAGAGTGCTCACAAGTGCTTTATTCCTTGATTTTTTGAGTATTTCAGGACCTCAGCATTTCTCTCTGAATTATAGCTTGACTAGAGAGCATATTTGTGATTCACAGTATTCTTCCTTGAGAACTAGTAGCTTTGCTTTCTGTCTAGCATTAGCTGTTTCTGTGGGGAGGGCTGCCTGAGGCCACACTGAGTTTTTGCTGTCTTGTAGATGACTTGCATTTACTGTTTGGAAGTTAAAATTTTATTATTCTTTCTTAATGTTCTATAATGTAGTAAGGACATTCTTGGTGTTGATCTTCTGAATCTGTATTTCATGGAATAATAATGTAGATTATTTTTTTAAATGTAGACCCAGGGATTGACCTCAGGTCCTTGTGCTTGTGAGACAGCCGACGGCACCACTGAGCTAAATCCCCTGCCCTACTGTAGATTCTTCTAATCTTCATTTGTTCCTTCCCATCAGAGTAAATTTTTTATATTTTATGTTGTAATATTTTCTGCTGTTTTTTTAAGTGCACAGATATCATTTATTTTTGTCTTTCTACTAGATAATCTTGCCTAGTTCTCCATGCTTATTTACTCAGTCTCAGTTGAAAAATAAACATTGACTGTGATCAATATAAGCGTTTTCCTCTGTTAGTAATTTGAGTTCTTACCATCTCTATTCTATTCCATGCTTTTCCTAATTTAATTGCTTCTGCCTTTTTTTTTTTTTTTGTACCATGGATCAAACTCTGGACCCTGCGCTTGTGAGGCAGGTGGCAGAACCACTGGGCTAAATCCCCTGCCCCTCCTAATTTAATTACTTCTGTGGTAGCATTACTTTTCTGCTCAGTTTGCTTCATTAGCTCTCTAATTACCATTTATTCTATCATTGTTGTTTTATTATCTTGTCTTTGCCCCTTTAAAGTCATGTTCTTATTAACTTCTTCAGTGTTACAAAGCTTGCATAGAGAATTTTCTTTTTGTGAGTTATATTTTCTTCTCGATCCAGCCCCCCTGACCCCCACACTTTGCATATTCTCTTTTGTCTGACTCTTATTTATTTGCTTGGTATATTAGGTCTCATTCCTTTTTCTTTCATCTTGATTATGATTAATATGTGAGCCATATTACAGTGTGAATAAATTTTTCGTAAATGTACTTGATTATTGTGTTCTTTCAGTAGAGTTTTAAAAAATGCTTATATGATTAATCTACTTATAAAATTGTGCTTGTGTAAAGAACAAAATAGAAAAGCAATAAACGGGAAGTAGGGAGAAGTTCAAATATTTCCCAAATTATATATTCCATTGTTTTAAAAATATTTAGGTATACAGTATACTAATTTGTTTCATTTATACTAAAAGTTTTAGTTTGTTGAAAAGAAATTTTGTTTTATTAACAGTTCCTTTTTTGTAGGAATCTTTTTAGTTTATGTTTTATACTAACTACTTTGCAGACAATAATACAGTGTGATAATTATTGTTATTCTCCTATTTGATTATGAAAATGTATTTTTTTCATAAAATAAAAATTGTGCATGTGGTATAGAGATTGGGAAAGATGAATGAGAACTATTTTCAAATCTTTTTGTGTGTAGTTATTTATCTTGAGCTAGGTTTTACTGTTTAGCACAGATTTCTGATATCTCTCCTTCTGTAAGAGTTAGCTCCAGGGTTCACCTCTCTATTTCACCATGTTGTTTTCACTGTGATATGCTCTCCCTGTAGCTTTCAAGAATAAGAGATTTAATCCCAACTGATGCTTTGAACCTTATCTTTAGCTATACTCTACTCTTCAAAGTTGTATTGTCTAGCAGAGTGGTGGCGAACCTGTGGCACTTGTGTTATTTGTTTTTCTTTTTAAGACAAAAGATGTTAATGTATGAGTTGGTTTTTTAAAATTAAAACCTTAGTATTCTGGTTCAATTGCAGTGGTGGCACTTTGTGATAAGTAAGTGATTTTGGGGATGCAATTTGGTCACTTGTCTCTGAAAGTTTTGCCATCACTGGTCTAGCAGAAGTTGGCTGTTATGAATTAATACATGAGAGTGGGAGGATGCAGTATACAGTTCAGTGTCTTGTATTTAACTGTCATTCATTTAATATGTGTCAAAAAAGTGATTTGTTGTTTATTTTAATTTTCATCCTTTCCAACTCATTTGATTAACATGAACATATCTAAATTAGCTGTAGTACAGTTTGTGTAATTTGAAATTACAGTTGTTTAAAGTATAACTTTATAATTCTTTGTGAGAATCTTAAATTGTTTTGTGACTTAAATTTTTTTTTTGGCAGTTACTAACTCAGGTTTTATAAAATTTGGGGGATTTGTTAAATATATTGGATTATATGATTCATCTAGAGGTACATATTGGAAGAAAAGCCCATAAGTCATTCAGTTTTCTTCTCTACGTTGTCATTGGTTTATATTTTATATTAAAATAATTGTTAAAGTTGTTATTCTTGTGATGTTTTCTAGAATTAACTTGATTCTAATCCTACTTTTTTTGCATTTATTGAAGGTAAATGAAATTGCCTTTATAAATACCTTGGAAGCCCAGAATAAACGGCATGATGTTTTATCAAAATTGAAGGAATATGAGCAGAGACTTAATGAATTACAGGAAGAGCGGCAGAGGAGACAAGTAGAAAAGCAAGCACGTGATGAAGCTGTGCAGGTAGTATTTGATTCACAAGCATTTTTTTAAAAAATTGAGTTTATTGGTACATTTTAGGGATACAGTACAGTTACATTCATAGTTGGGATCTTGTACCTCTACCTGACAGGTCTTGGTTCTTATTTTTTCCCTTTGTCCCTACCCTCCCTTCACCTTAGCTCCAGGGTTCACCTCTCTATTTCACCATGTTGTTTTCACTGTGATATGCTCTCCCTGTAGCTTTCAAGAATAAGAGATTTAATCCCAACTGATGCTTTGAACCTTATCTTTAGCTATACTCTACTCTTCAAAGTTGTATTGTCTAGCAGAGTGGTGGCGAACCTGTGGCACTTGTGTTATTTGTTTTTCTTTTTAAGACAAAAGATGTTAATGTATGAGTTGGTTTTTTAAAATTAAAACCTTAGTATTCTGGTTCAATTGCAGTGGTGGCACTTTGTGATAAGTAAGTGATTTTGGGGATGCAATTTGGTCACTTGTCTCTGAAAGTTTTGCCATCACTGGTCTAGCAGAAGTTGGCTGTTATGAATTAATACATGAGAGTGGGAGGATGCAGTATACAGTTCAGTGTCTTGTATTTAACTGTCATTCATTTAATATGTGTCAAAAAAGTGATTTGTTGTTTATTTTAATTTTCATCCTTTCCAACTCATTTGATTAACATGAACATATCTAAATTAGCTGTAGTACAGTTTGTGTAATTTGAAATTACAGTTGTTTAAAGTATAACTTTATAATTCTTTGTGAGAATCTTAAATTGTTTTGTGACTTAAATTTTTTTTTTGGCAGTTACTAACTCAGGTTTTATAAAATTTGGGGGATTTGTTAAATATATTGGATTATATGATTCATCTAGAGGTACATATTGGAAGAAAAGCCCATAAGTCATTCAGTTTTCTTCTCTACGTTGTCATTGGTTTATATTTTATATTAAAATAATTGTTAAAGTTGTTATTCTTGTGATGTTTTCTAGAATTAACTTGATTCTAATCCTACTTTTTTTGCATTTATTGAAGGTAAATGAAATTGCCTTTATAAATACCTTGGAAGCCCAGAATAAACGGCATGATGTTTTATCAAAATTGAAGGAATATGAGCAGAGACTTAATGAATTACAGGAAGAGCGGCAGAGGAGACAAGTAGAAAAGCAAGCACGTGATGAAGCTGTGCAGGTAGTATTTGATTCACAAGCATTTTTTTAAAAAATTGAGTTTATTGGTACATTTTAGGGATACAGTACAGTTACATTCATAGTTGGGATCTTGTACCTCTACCTGACAGGTCTTGGTTCTTATTTTTTCCCTTTGTCCCTACCCTCCCTTCACCCCCCTCCTCCCCTCCCCATTTACGAACACTTTATTTCCATCTTTTCATTTTCTCACATTTTTTTCTTTTCCCTTATTATCCTTCCCCTACTCATCCCACCTTCCCTACACCTTTAGCCCTTTTCTTCCCATACTGAATAGTTTCTCTGGTGTGAATAGACTGTAATAGTACATAGGATCCTAATGAGATAACTGACATTGTAAGTAACTGATTCACAAGCATTTGCTGAGCACCTCTCATGTTCAAGGTTCTGGTGAGGCGCTAAGGATCCAGAAGGAGTATAACTTCATCTCTGTTCCAGATGTGCGTGGGTTAAAACAGGAATGCTTGAAAACAGTTTACTCTTTCAGATAAGGTTGTCAGTGCCGCTGTCAGTAGATGGCAGTCATAGAATCTCTAGCTCCAGCCAACTGAAGAGTTGAACTCTGACAGATTATTTATTCTTTTCTAATTGGGTTGGAAAAGAATGTGGTTGTCTTCTCCTAATAAAAAAAAAGATGGTTTTTGGACAAGTATATGTAGCTATAAGAAGTGGGTCATCTTTTTGCTCATGACAAGGGGCACCTGTCATATAGTAGCCATTATCACAAGGTACTTTTTCACCTCTACAGCAAATCCTGTTGGTTGCCATTTTCAGGATGGGAAGAAAGGTTAAGACAAAAGATATATTTCTTTTTATGAGCTATTTTTCTTTATTAAAATGTCTTGCCCTTAGACTCTTTTAGGTTTTAACATTTTTGGTGTAGAGAACAAATTTGCAATATTCAAATACAAATTCAGACTTAATGTATCTGTTGTATCTAATATTTATTTGCTTTTTGATTTAGTGATCATTTTGAGTTACTACAATTTATATGTTGTGATTGGCTTGAGGATATGAAAAATATATGTAATTTTTCTCAGCAGAAAGATATACACAGAAACAAACTTGAACGCAGTAGGATAAATACTATGGTAAAGGCATTTTCATAGCCAGGAGAGCACTTTACTCATGTGGAGAGTGGAGAGGAAATGAGAAGTCAGGGACTTTCCAGGAGATGATACTTCAACTATGTTTTCAAAGGTGGGACAGTTGTGTGTTGAGATGTAGCATGGGAGGGCATACATGCCGTGCACAAGGGGATAGGAGGAAGTGCCACATGGAGAGGTGGGGATAGCATGAGAAACTTCATTATGCTAGAAATTAGGGATGTTAATATTTCCTGCTTTATGTTATTTGTGATTTTAGGAAATTAAAAATGTTAATGCGTTTTTAAGTTTATAGAATGGTCCTATTAAAGAAACTACCTTGTATTAGTTAGGGTTCTCTAGAAGGAGGGACATGATGGATAGAAAATAGATATATATTTATGCAAAGGGATTTATTACCTAGGTGATAGGGTCCCAGTTGGGAGAGTCCATAGTAGTCATCTGCATGCTGGAGAGTAGGTGGAGCCAGTGCTCTTCCTCCCAAGAAGATAAAAACCACAGAAAAAGAGGTATCAGGGATACAGCACCAGCCCAAGGTTGAAGGCCTAGAAGCTCATGATAGAGTCACTGGTGCAGTCTTCCCTCCAAAGTGCAAAGGGGATTATAAGATTAGAGCTCTTTAGAAACAGGCATGCTTCCTTCTTTCCCTTTTCTATTCTATCCAGGTCACAAGCCTATTGGTTGCTGCCACCCTTCACCTGGGTGGGTCTTTCCCTGCCTCATTTTGCTGGCCTACATGCCAGTCATTTACACACCCAGAACTATGCTTTATTAATCTTCTAGGTGTTTCTTAATCCATTCAAGCTGACATAACATGATTAATGGTCACATACCTTTTTCTGCTCAACAAGCAATAAAACTTTCATTTTTATTCTTTATAATTCTCTATTAATTTATATCCTTAAATGAATAAATAAAACAATATATTTAGATTTTAAATTTCAGTCACCATTATTTATGTCTCTTATTGTATGTTGCTTTTCAGCAAGCATTAGGTAATAATAATTGTATGAATAAATAAAACAATATATTTAGATTTTAAATTTCAGTCACCATTATTTATGTCTCTTATTATTGTATGTTGCTTTTCAGCAAGCATTAGGTAATAATAATTCAGAGACAAACAAGACACTATCCTTGACTTTACAATAAATAATAAATTAGAATTTAATGAGAAAAGGGTATAATCAAGAATGTACAAAGAGTAGAGTACCATTAAGGACAGGTATTAGTTCTGTTGATGGGACAGGGAAGACTTTCTGGAAAAGGTGACTTCTTTTCTGAATTTAGGGAAGAAATATATATAAGCAATGTTGTATTTTTTTTTTCTCAGTACTGAAGATCAAACTCAGGACCTTATACTAAATCCCTGGCCCCTTGCTGTATATTTTTAAATGGATATACTTTGGTTCCTTTTACTACCTTTTATACATTTGAAATTAAATAATTATCTTCAGTTGAAAAATGATGACTCGCTGCATAATTTGGAACATTAAAGCTTAAAGGAAATCTGTTTACTAAAAGTATTAAGGAATTTTTTTTGTCTTCAACACTTAAAATTATTGTACCTCTTCAGAATTACTTTTTTTAAAAAAAGCATAAATTTGCCAGAGTGGTGCATGCCAAGCATGAAGATCACCAGTTTGAGGATAGTCGGGGGTTACATAGTGAGTGTAAGGCCAGCCTGGACTAGATAATGAGATCTTCAACAAAACAAAACAAATCAGAAAAATCCTATGGATATAATTTTCAATGAAAAATTTCAAACCTATCTACATGCATTTGCGATATACTGATATTATTACAAAATTTTTAAATGTGTAGGCATTATTAGCTGTATAAGGTACCTAATACCAAGCATTCTGTAAATATAGGTTCTAACCTAATGCAATATTTCATAGATACTCCACTATTTTCAGTCCTAACAGCTGTAGGTTCTGGCCACCCTTGGACTAAACAAAGGTGGATGGAAAATATACAGTGTTACATTGTTGCTCATTGTTGTTACTATGTAATTAGTCACAGAATGGGATGTAGACAATGTAGCAATTATTTATATGCTTGTTTAGTTAGCAAGCATTTACATTGAGTTAGACTGAAAGTGAGCTAGAGATTAGAAGTGCATGAGAGGATCGACCTATGTGAAGGTACTGTACCATTTTCTGTGAGAGACTTGAGCATCTGTGTATTTAGGTATCTGTGGGGATCCTGGAACCAATACTCAGTGGTACCAAGGGATGACTGTACTTTCTTTTTTTTTTGGTATGGAGGATTGAACTAGGGGCCTTGTGCTTGTGAGGCAGATGGTGGAACCACTGAGCTAAATGCCTGGCCCTTTATTTCTATTTTTGAAACATAACCGTGAGCATAAAGGCACTTGTGATCCTTGTTTCTTGTAAGTGAAATATTAAGTGCTGCCATCATATAGTCTCCATTTGCCATTTTTGTGTGTGTGTAGTCTTGATTGATTAGATCTAAACTCAATTTCCTTAAATTCTGCTTTGTCTTTTTGCCCTAAGTTTTGAAGCATAGACATAAGAATGAGGCTAAAAAAAATCCTTTCTTGGGCTCCCAAGAGCACATCCCTGTCTATCAAGAAAGTAGAGGATCTAAGAGTTTCTGTAGGATGAGCCTTTGTTATATTTCTAATCCCTTTGTATTGGTTTATTCGCAGGTATAAAATTATGCTTAATTTGTTAAATAACTACTTGGGGATCATTGACCTGTGGAAGGTGCTTTTTGAAGTAGAAAGTTTCCTTTCTTTATGGAACCATTTTAAATTGGAAGATGCTAGCCAGATTTACTAATTTTGCTCAAAAGCTATATAACTATTTATACCCTTTTCCATTTATTGAAATCAAATTAATCAGTTGGATAATTTTAACTTATTGGTATCATGTGAGGCTAGATTTTATGTCCTTGAAAACAGTCACAACTTGATAGGAGATAGTATTTACAAGCCTACAACTTGGCTACATTGTACATAAAAATTTTAAATAGTGTGGAAGGTATGTCACTTTGAAGCACATACATTTTACATGTAATTTTAATATCTTTAAAAATGTTTTGAACATCAAGAATGTAAGAGGGCTCTAGAAGCATTGCAATGTAATTATTTTTATATAATAACGTATTTCTCAGGAACCCAGTTCATATTTTTAGACTATTTTAAAAATATTTTCATATTTTGGACTATTTTTAAAACATTTGGTTTTTTTAATCAAATATGACATACTTTAAGCAAATTTTACTTTAAGAGAAAATATTTTTATTTGTATTTTCTTTTTTCTGCACCAGTTTGATTGTTTTTAGTCTTATATCTTGAATAGCTAATAAACAAGTTTCCATATATTATTAATTAGTAAAGAAGCAGTTTTTTTGGTTTTTGTTTTTTTTTTTTTTTTTGGATCAAGGATCGAACTCGGGTCCTTGAGCTTTAGAGGCAGGTGGTAAAACCACTGAGCTAAATTCCCAACCCAAAAAACAGTTTTAATCAGTTCATAAATAGTGTGCCAAACACTATAGAATGTATTTAACATCTAATTGAGTACTTCTTACAGTCTCCTTGAAATCAGGGCATTCCTTCTAATTCCCAGTCTTCCATTGGCAGGGAGGGGCCAGGACGGGGGGAAGAGAGGGGATTCATCCATCCTTCAGGTTTCCTACTTTACAGAGATTTTCCCTAGAGTAGGTAGAGGTTGTTGAGGAGATAAAATTACCATTGTGAGCTCAGTAATCTATTGGAAAGGTTTGACTCTATCTTCAAGTGTTACCTGAACAGAAAACCCCTCATTGTTTTTTCTGCTGCCCTTTATTGAGCCCTTATTATGGGCAAATGCTAGGGTGAGCAGTTATCTATATTAATAATTTAGGACCTCATAGGCAAAAGAATCTCTTTGAGGCAAAGTGACTTTCACAAGGCTGTATAAGCAGGAGGTGCTAAAGCTTAGATCAGCACGTTCATCAATCATCAGGGAGGGAAAGGGACAGATTGTGTGTTATTTGGAAAACAGAACCAGTTAAAAGAAAGGTATCATCAGTTCAGCTGGTGACACAGTGAGCATTAGCAGGGTACTTGTAGGCAGAAATATACACAAGACACTATTTCATGTTAAAAGCTCACTCTGTTTTGATGAAGTGTCTTCTGCCTTGGTGATGATCAATATTGAGAATTTAATCTATGTCAGGCTCTGTACTAAGTGCTTTCCATGTTGTATCTGATGTGTTCTTCACAAAGTCCTAAGAAATATGTAATACTTTTATTTATCTTCTGGAAAACTAAAGCACAAAGAATGTAACTTATGGGACTGGAGTCATTCAGCTAGTAAATAATGGGGTCAGGAAACAAAACTAGGGAATCTGGCCAAATGTCCACTGTCATACCTGCAGTGCTGTGTTAAGTTGCCTCTTTCTCCTTCCTAAATGCTTTCTTCACTTAATTCCATGATGGAAGCTTAGTTTGGAAATAAAATCTGTTAACTACAATCTTTTCATTATGTTTAGGTAATTCTATAACTTTATTAACAAGGCTTTTGAAATGATTAATCAGAAAATACATATTAATGTTCCCACAGAACCATGTGGCAACATAATATTTACTTAAAATAGTGTTTTTTCTCACAATTATTTGTAATGCTGCTAAGTGATACATGAAAACAAGATATCTTTGCTTGATTTTTGTTTAAATTCAGAGATGAAGTGTATCCATTAGTAAGCCATAAACATACAATTTTTAAGTAGTGTAGAATATGTCACTTTTAATCACTTACATTTTACATGTAATTTTAATATCTTAAACATTAGGAACGTAAGAGGGCTCTAGAAGCAGAGCGTCAGGCCCGTGTAGAAGAATTGTTGATGAAGAGGAAAGAGCAAGAAGCCCGGATTGAACAGCAGAGGCAAGAGAAGGAAAAAGCCCGTGAGGATGCAGCTCGGGAGAGAGCAAGGTATCATATTTGCTATCTAGATTTTTGATCCTGAGGAACATTTTACACTGAGTAAATATTTAAATCAGTCCTTTAAAAAACAGCCATTTGATGTCATGTTTATTTTTAAAAGTAGTCACAAAAACATAAATATACCAGATTTTTAATCTTTAGGTATTGTGACATTACGCTCAAAATAGAAACCTTTTGAAATTTTCTGGTGGGTGAGAAACTTGATATTTTAAAATTTTTTTTGAAAAAATAGAATCTGATTTTGGCTATCTTTAGCAAAAAAGAATCTTTTGGGAAGCTATTGGGGCATTATTGATAGATCAACTCAGGATATTTTTATATTTCTTATGATTTCATCAATTTATAGGTTCTTTAAAAGTGTTTATTTCCAACTATTTGAGAATATCACTCATTTTTTTCTATTGTTGATTTCCAATGTAATCCTTTGTTGCTGAAGAATAACACTTTGTATAGTTTCAGTGTGTAATTTATGGAGACTTACTTTCTAGCCTTGGATGCGGACTCTCTTGGGAACACTCTTTGTGCCCTTGAAAGTGTACATGTCTTGCTGCTGGTGAAGAGCTGCTTTCTAACTATTAGTTCAGTAGAATTAGTAGAGTGTTTTCTTGTCTTGTTGACTCACCAATTTTTGGTTTAGTTTTCTCAACTCTTGAGAGAAGATTATTGAAGTCACTATTTAAAAGGTAATTTCTATTTACAAGGTACATCTTACATCCTTTTACTTTTATCCTACTTGTACTTTTGTTTCTTAAACATGTCCCTTACAGACTACCTTTAGTTGGGATTTGCTTTCCTATCTGGTTTGCTAATTTCTGCCTTTTAATTGGAATGTTTAGCACATTCTCACTTGATGTAATTATTGATTTTTGTTGGATTTATGTCTGCCATTTGATAATTGTTGTCTATTTCAAGTCATTTTTTTAAGCCTCTTATTTCACTCTTTCAACCATGGGTTTAGTTTTTTGTTTGTTTGTTCGTTTGTTTGTTTTCTCTTTTTCTCTTTTGGTACCAGGGATCGAACTCAGGACCTTGGTCTTGCAAGGTAGGGCGGTGGAACACTGAGCTAAATCCCCAGCCCCAAGTCTTTTTTTTTTTTTTTTCTATCCTTACTGTCTCGTTTTTAATAAACCAATACTTTTTAGTGAATCATTTCCACTTATTTATTCATTCATTTATTTATTTATTTATTTATTTTTGTACCAGGGATCAAACTCAGGACCTTCTACTTGCAAGGCAGGCACAGAGCCACTGAGCTAAAGCCCTGATCCTCCACTTAATTTTTAAAAAATTCATTGTTTTGATTACTTGCTTAATGGTTACTCTCTGGATTACATTATTCATCTTGATTTATTACAATTAAGGTTAAAACAATTAATTTTGTTATAAGAGAGTGACTTTGTCCAGTGTAATTCAGTGTCTTCTATCCACTATGTTATTATTATCACATATCTCACACCTTACGTCATAAACTGAATACTACAATGTTACAGTTATTTCTTATGGAGTCCTATTTTTTTTAAGTAGAATATTTATAGATTCCTTTATATTTATCCACATACTTACAAATTTCTGATGTACTTCATTTTTTAGTGTGTGTATTTGAGTTACCTCTGTTATTCATTTGAGCCAGATGGACTTCCTTTTGAATTCCTTGTTAAGGGAGTTTGACTTTCAGTGAATTGCCCTGGTTTTCGCTTTTCTGGAAATATTTTTGTTTTGCTTTCATTTTGAATAACAGTTTTGTTGGATATAAATTTCTTGATTTTTCTGTATTTTGAAATGTCTTCTGTTGTTTTTGATGATGAACCTGCTATTAGTCTTCCTATTTTTCCCTTCATGTTGTGAGTTGTTTTTTCTTCGTGCCTTCAGGAAATTCTTGTCTTTTACCAGTTTGAATAGGATTTATCTAGGACTGCCTTCCTGTTTATCCTTGCCTGTACATTCATGTTTTTATTAAATGGGTACATGTCATGGGCCATTGTGTCTTCACATATTCAATTGTCATTTTCTTTATGTTCTTCTGAGTATGATGTTTTCTCAGACCTTCTGTGCTTTTGATGACAGTGTTGAGGAATAATGGTTAGGTATTTTATAGACTTTACTTAATGAGGACTTGCCTGATGTTGTTCTCCTGGTTAGACTGGGGCTACAGTCTTTTAAGAGGAAGACTCCAGAGTTAAGGTGCCATTCTTCACAAATTGCATTTTCTCAACCTGACTTATCAATGAAGTTACTTTTGATTACCTAGCTGAGGTCTGTTGGCCAGGTTACATGTAAAATTTCTGTGTACTATCTTCTTTAGAAACAGGTTACTGATTGCATAGCCCCAAATGGAAGGATGAGAGTTATTCTTCCTCTCCTTGAGAAGAATAATTATATATATGTGCATATATATACACATTATATATATTGCTTAGAATTCTTCTTTGTAGGACTTTTGTTTATTCATCCTGTATTGAACATTTTCATTACTATAACAAAATACCTGAGACTGGGTGATGTATGGAGAAGAGAGGTCTTTAGCTCACAATTTTAGAAGGGGCTCCAAAAAGCACGGTGCCATCATACTATGATGGCTGCATCATGCCATGGTGGTCACTCCAGAAGAAGTGGTCACATGGTGAGACAGGAAGCTGGGCAAGAGGAACCCCCAGCTTGTTCTTTTAGAAATAACCAGGATCTTCTCAGCACTACATCAGTACTTTTTGGGCACCACTCTCCAACATTGCTCCACCAGAGACCAGGCTCAAGCATGAACCTGTGAGACAACAGTAGCACTTTTCTATTTATTTGTTTGTTAGCTTTTTTAAAAAATAGTATTTTTTAAAGAAAAGTATCAGTATTGCTTCTTGGCCTTTTGGCTAAGATCAAGTGTAAAAACAGTATCAGTATATTGTTATATTTATTTTATACTCTTGAGTAGTAATTTCACACAATATTATTTGTTTGCCAGATTGTTACATATTTAAACATTAGGAACTCTTTTAGTTGGTTCCTTTAACTTCACCTTTTTGTTTGTTTTGTTTTGATTTTTTTTCTTTCTTTCTAATGCTACAGATATTCCAGATTCATCTTGTATTTTCCCTGTCCATCCCTTGGGTCAGCCATTTTTTTAAGAGGTCTTGTTCCTTTTATTAGAAAGGTGTTTTTTAAATATATATATATATATATATTTTTAAATTAATTTTATTGGTACATTTTAGGTGTACAATATAATGACATTCATCATTGGAAATTTATATCTCTACATAATGTATCTTGGTTCTTATTTTTTCCTGTTCCCCTGCCCTCCCTTTGAATTCCATGTCTGTGGAGTCATTGTCATCATCTTTTTCTTTAATTATTCTGGCATTCTTTCATTTAATTATTTAAGCATGTCTGAAAGAACTCTATAGCCACAAAGTTGTCTTTGTTTGCTAAAACAACATACGACTTCATTCAAAGATTTTCATCCTTAGCTTTTTCTTGTGCCTGCCATATTTTTATATATGTATCTTAGTTCTTTTTTGGAAAATAGACAGTTTTAGATAATGTATTTAAACAACTGCAGTTTTGCATCAATAAGGATCTCTTAATTTATTGTTTATCTTTGGTTGAATTTCAGATCCTTGAAGTTTTTTTGTTTTTGTTTTTGTTTTGTTTTTTTTTCACAAAACCAACCTTGTCTAGCCTATGTACTTGAAGGTTGCATCAGCTTCTGCTCACCTGCGATCCAAAGGATTGATTTTGCACCCTTCCCTAATGGACATCATATGCTCCTGGCCTCACTCACAACAGTGTCACAACTTCCTTTACACACTGGGCCACAGCCTCTGCATCTCTGGGCAGATGGTATTATTAATTGCTTACTATTGCACAACCACAGTTATGTTGAGTTAGTCTAAGAACAAATTGAAGTAGGTTCAGGAAAGCAGGATTCTAATTCCAGATCTGCCAGGGAACTCTCTAATCCTAGTTTTTTGAGGTATTTCCACATTGATTTCCACAGTGATTGCACCAGTCTGCATTCCCACCAACAATGGAGCAGGGTTCCTTTCTCCCCGCAACCCCGTCAGTACTTGTTATTGATTAATTTCTTGGTAGCAACTATTCTTTCTGGGGTGAGATAGAATCTCAGCATTGTTTTCATCTGCATCTCTTGAATGACCTGTGATGTTGAACATTTTTTCCTATGTTTATTTGCTCCTTTTACTTCTTTGTCTGAGAAATGTTTGTCCATTTCAGAGGCCCATTTTTGAATTGGGTCTTTATATTTGGGGGAGGTCTGATTTTCTTTTTGTTCTTTATATATTCTAGATAGTAGACCTTTGACTGAGGAACAGCTGGTAAAAAATTTTTTCCAACATTGTAGGTTGTCTCTTAGCTCTGTTGGTGGTTTCATTTGCAGTGCAGAAGCTTTTTAATAGGATGAGCTCCCAGTTGTTGATGCTTGCCTAGCTCCCATGCTACTGAGGATTTGTTTCTAAAGTCTTTTCCTACACCAGTGTCTTTGAGAGTTCTACCTAACTTATCTTCCAGCAAGTTTAGTGTCTCTGTTTTAATACTTAGATTGTTAATCCTCTTGGATTTTAGTTTAGTTTATGGAGAAAGAGAGGGATCTCGTTTTAATCATTGGTAGGTTGAAATCCAGTTTTTCCAACACTGTTTATTAAACAGGGTATCTTTCCTTCACTGAGGAGGGTTGGCTCCTTTGTTTAAGTTGAGGTAACTGAGTATGTCTGGAATTGTTTCTGCATCTTCTGATCTATTCCAATGATCCTTAGGTCTGTTTCTTTGCCAGTACCATGCCATTTAATCACAGTGGCTTTGTAGTATAGCTTCTAGTTGGGGATTGTGATACCCCCTGCCATGTCTCTGTTGCCTAGAGTGGTTTTTGCTATTCTAGGTCTTTTCTGATTCTAAATGAATTTTTGGATTGTTTTCTTATTCTGTGAAATATACTGTTGGGATTTCAATTGGGATTGCGTTGAATCTGTATAGCAATTTTGAAAGTATGGCCATTTTCACTATGTTGGTTCTTCCTACCCAAGAGCAAGGGATGTCTTTCCATTTTCTTATGTCCTCTTTGATCTCCTTTTTCAGAGTGTTGTAGTTTTCAGTGTAGAGGTCTTTTGCCTCCTTCATTAGATGATTCCTAGATATTTCAGTTTTTAGGATGCTATTGTGAAAGGCATTGTTTCCTTGCGTACAAGAAGGCTATTGATTTTTGAGTGTTTGCCTTGTATCCAGCTATTCTACTGAATCTATCAGTTAAATCTAGAAGTGTTTTTGCAGAGTTTTTTGGGTCTTCTATGTAGAGTATCATATCATCAGAAAATAATGACAGTTTAACTTCTTCCTTTCCTATCTTTATTCCTTTTATTTCTTTTTCTTGTCTAATTACTCTAGTTAGTGTTTCCAGAACTATATTGAACAGGAGTGGTGATAGTGAACATCCTTGTCTTGTTCCTGATTATGGAATGAAGGTTTTCAGTTTTTGACTTTTGAGTATGATGTTGACGGTTGGTTTTTCATAGGTAGCCTTTATCAAATTGTGATAAAGATCATCTATTCCAGTTTTCTGCAGAATTTTTATCATGAATGGGTGTTGAACTTTTTCAAATGCTTTTTCTGCATCTATTAAGATGATCATATGGTTTTTGTCCTTGACTCTGTTAATATAGTGTATTACATTTATTGATTTATGTATTTTGAACCATACTTGCATCCATGGGATAAATTTGGCTTGTTCAGGGTGTATGATCTTGATGACCCTCTGCATTCTGTTTTCCAGTGTCTTACTGAGGATTTTTTGCATCTGTATTCATTAGGGAGTTTGGCCTGTAGTTCTCTTTTTTGGTTGGTCTTTCCCTGGTTTTGAAATCAAAGTAACACCTGCTTCCAGGAATGAATTTGGAAGTATTGCTTCCCTTTCAACTTCATTGAAAAGTTTAAAGAGTAGTGGCAATAGTTCTATAAATATTTTGTAGAATTCAGCAGTGATGCCATAAGGACCTAGGCTTTTCTTTGTTGGCATTTTTTTTCCTCATAAAAGTTTATTAGTACATTTTAGGTATACAGTACAGTTACATTCATCATTGGGATCTTGTACCTTTACATGACAGGTCTTGGTTCTCATTTTTTCCCCATACCCCTGCCCTCCCTTCACCCCCTCCTTCCTTCCCTATTTACAAAAACTTTATTTCCATTTTTCATTTTTTCATATTTTTTTCTTTTCCCTTATTTACTTTTTCAATTTCACTGATTGTAATGGGGTGTTTAGACTTTTTATATCGTTGTTCAACTTTGGTAATTCATATGTATCTAGAAATCTGTCCATTTCTTCTGTGTTTTGCATTTCATTAGAGTACAGGTTCTCGAAGTAGGTATTAATCATCCTCTGGATTTCTGCTGGATCTGTTGTGACTTTACCTTTTTTGTTTCTAATTGCATGTATTTGAGCCTTTTCTTTCTTTTTTTGATAAGGTTGGCTAAGGGTTTATTGATTTTTTTTTATTCTTTGTAAAAACCAACTCTTTGATTTGTTGATTTTTTTTTTCTTTTTGTACTATTCTCTTACTCTCCACTGCACTGATTTCTGCTCTGATCTTTGTAATTTCCTGCCTTGTACAAGCTTTGGGTTTGTCTTGCTCTTCTTTTTTTAGGAAGTTAAAATTCACCATTAGGTTGTTTATTTGAACTCGTATGAGAAGCAGTTTCAGACGTACATTTGGGCTGGACTTATTGCATACTGGGTCACTCTGGAGGTCTGTGGGGAATTGGCAATTAGAAGATCCCTGTCTGTCTTTCTGTTACTTTTTCTCTGAGGCTGGCCTAAGCCTCACAGATTCCTTAGGGAAGTCTAGAGGAGTGGGAAGTAACCTGGGTATGAGTGCTTTGTGTGTTAAAAGGGGAGGGGTACTATTTGTTTAAATCATTTTAGTGTGGAGAGCTTTACTTAAAGTCCTTATTTTCATGGTATCATCTCTTCTCCACCTTGTTTTAAAAGCATGGTGCTGCATGTTCACCCCTCTTGGCAGTCATCACCCAGCCTCTTCCCTGTGGAGAGAACAACTACAGGTTCTTGAAGAATTTTCCAGTCTTCTTGTTTCCATCAGCAATCTTTATTTCTTCTTTTTTGGTACTGGGGATTGAACTCAGGACCTTCCACTTGCGAGCCAGGCAGTGGAACCACTGAGCTAAATCCCCTGCCACCCTTTATTTCTTCTTTCCTGAATAGTTTCTCTGGCTTCTAAGTTTTTATGGAGTTTTGCTGGTAGAGTTATTTTCCTCTCTGCTTATTCCCTTTGACAGCCTAAATTTCAAGATTTCAGGTTTTTCAGATTTGCTTTTTCAGTTTCTGAAATATTGATGTCCATCATATGGTTATTTTCTGTCCTATTTTCTCTGTCTTGGTGAGTCTATGCCTTTTTTATTCCTTTTTCATAGTTTTAATAGTATTTTCCAAGAGAATGAAAATAAATGTATATTTTCAAAATGTTATATTTAAATGACAGTCCCAGAGCTAATATTTAAATATATGATTGGGTCTGGACACCCATTTTCATAGCTGATCATCTCTTGCCACAGCACAAAAAAGAAAAACAAAGACAAATTCTAGTGCTTCCAAATATTAAATGAGTAATAAACCTGAGGTATAGTAGACACTTAAATTTTTTAAAAATAGTGAACCTTTAGAATATGAGCCTTTGGGTCCTAGTTATATTTTTTAATTTCATGTGATATATTTCTCTAAGGAGCTGACTCTCTTCTTACAGAGACAGGGAAGAACGACTGGCAGCACTCACAGCTGCTCAGCAAGAAGCTATGGAAGAGCTACAGAAAAAAATTCAGCTCAAGGTATGGATGTCATGTACTCTAAATTAGAAGTTTTGGAGCTTGTAGTGGGGCATGATATTAAAATTATACATATTGAATAAAAATTGAATTAATTTAGGGCTGGGATTTAGCTTAGTGGCCGCCACTGCCTGCTTTGCAAGCACAAGGACCTGAGTTCGATCCCCGGTACCAAAAAAAAAAAAAAAAAAAAAAAAAAAATTGCATTACTCTTTAGAGACAAGTCTTCTATGATTGGGCTATGACTCAAACTCAGCTATCTGGAGTTAGTTTGGTGAGGATCATTGTGGAAAAAAATTAAAACAAGCTTAACATTTCTGGATTTAGTCAGAAACTAACTAATGATTTGAAGGCAGTACAGCTAGGCTTCTGATATTCATAAATTTTAATCATTTAGAAATACACTAAAAGATATTTCTTATACTTACTTATACTCAATTTTATATGTATATGAATTGCACAGTTGTAGATTGGTACATTATGATAAATCAATTTTTCATTTTTTGGCAGCAATGGGGATTGAACCCTGGGCCTTATACTGAGCTACGTTTTCCTTGTTTTCATTTTGAGGCAGAGTCTTCTTAAGTTATCTAAACTATGCTTGAACTTGGGATCCTCCTGCCTCAGCCTTCCAGAGTGCTGGGATTATAGGCATATACCATTTCATCCACCTTGATAAATTTATATTTTCTAGAAAATTTTTACCGTTACTACAAGATGTAGGCAGATCTAACATATAAATGAATATTTGTATTATATCACAATTATTTCTATGTAGACTTAAAGTAGATCATATTTTACTGTTTGCGTAATCCTAGGAAATTAGCATTCATTTAATCATGATGCAGCAGGTACTTATGAGTGAGTAAGATATGCTTCCAGTTCTCAGGAAACTCATAATGTAATGTGAGATTCAGATGCTCAGCAGATAGTTTCCATATAGATAGAAGTGTATATGGTGTGCTATGGAAGGCAGGGGAGAACACAGTCCTACATTGGTGTGCCGGAGTTTAGGGATATACTTTCAGCGAGTAATTCCTGAGCTGATGTTAAAAGAAGGTTGAGTTGAATGGACAGAAGAATGTGTGGGTGAGTGTATTGCACTCGAAGAGTCATGTGAAGAAGTACAGGTACATGGGTGTAAATCTGAAACAGCTTTTAACCACTTATCAGTTTACTCTGAGTGTCACTGAGGCCACATGAATGTTTACATACTGACTGTCACAGGCATTGCTTGGGCAGTTGTCATTTCCACCAGTCCATTTTTGTTTGCACAAGATACACTCTTACATCTGTCTGTAGATAGATGTAGTAGATATAAATAAGTACTGTTTTTTGCATTCCTTTTTTTATTTAGAACATTGTATTCACCCTTGATGTGTGTTTCTAGTGAAAACATTTTTTTTCTTTTAAATTGAATTTATTGGTACACTCTAGGTAGACAGTACAGTTACATTCATTACTGGAATCTTGTACCTTTACATGCCAGGTCTTGGTTCTCATTTTTTCCCCTTGTCCCCATCCTCTCTTCATCCCTTCCTTCCCTCCCCACCTTCAAACACTTTAATTCCATTTTTACATTTTCTCATATTTTTTCCTTTTCCCTTGTTCCCCTTCCCCTATCCTTCTCACTGTCCCTACACCTTTGGTCCTTTTCTTCCTATTTCATGTTGCTAATTGTCCCGTTTGGATCTTGAGTACTATTTTAGTCTTTCACACCAGTGAAACTATTCAGTATTAGCATATGTGTGCCTTATTAATTTCATTTAGAAGTGTATCCTCGAAATGTACCCATTCACTTATGAATGAATCTACTTTCTCATTCTTTATGGCTGAGTAGTATTCCATTTTAAAGAAAAACCACATCTTCTTTATCCAGTTTCCAACTGATGGGCAGATGGTCTGTTTCCAAGTTTTAGCTATTACAAACTGTGCCGCTATAAACATGGGTGCACATATATCACTGTGGTATGATTCTTTTAATTCTTTTGGAAAGATACCCAACAGAGGGATGCTGGGTCAAATGGAACCTCTAATCGTAGTTCTTTGAGGTATCTCCATATTAACTTCCATAGTGGCTGCACCAGTCTGCACTCCCACCAACAATGGAGAAGGGTTCCTTTCTCCCCACAACCGCGCCAACATTTGTTATTGTGTGATTTCTTGATAGCAGCCATTCTTTGTGGGGCGAGGTGGAATCTCAGTGTTGTTTTCATCTGCATCTCTCGAATGACCAGTGATGTGGAGCACTTTTTCATATATTTACTTGCTGCTTTTATTTCTTTGTCTGAGAAATGTCTGTTCATTTAAGATGCCCATTTTTGAATTGGATCTTTATATTTGCGGGGGCTGATTGTTTTAAGTTCTTTATATATTGTAGATAATAGACCTTTGTCTGAGGAGCAGCTGGTAAAAATTTTTTCCCACATTGTAGGCTGTCTCTTAGTTCTGTTGATGGTTTCTTTTGCAGTGCAGAAGCTTTTTAATTAGATGAGATCCCACTTGTTGATTCTTTCTGCTAGTTCCCGTGCTACTGAGGATTTGTTCATAAAGTCTTTTCCTATGCCAATGTCTTCAAGAGTTCTGCCTAACTTATCTTCCATCAAGTTTAGTGTTTCTGTTTTAATATTTAGATCTTTAATCCACTTGGATTTTAATTTAGTGAATGGTGAAAGATAAGGTCTAGTTTTAATCTTTTGCAGGTTGAGATCCAGTTTTTCCAACACCATTTATTAAAGAAGCTATCTTTCCTCCAGTGGGTACTATCAGCACCTTTGTCAAAGATGATGTAGCTTAGTGCATCTGGAGTTGTTTTTGTGTCTTCCAATCTATTCCACTGATTGATCCTCAGGTCTGTTTCTATGCCAGTACCATGCTGTTTTTATCACAGTGGCTTTGTAATATAGTTTCAAATTAGGAATTGTTATACCCGCTGCCATGTGTCTGTTGCCTAGAATGGCTTTTCCTATTCTAGGTCTCTTATGGTTCCAAATGAATTTTTGGATTCTTCTTTCTAGTTCTGTGAAATATAGTGTTGGGATTTCAATTTTTGGTAGTATGGGCATTTTCACTATGTTGATTCTTCCTACCCAGGAGCAGGGGACATCTTTCCATTTTCTTATACTCTCCTCGATCTCTTTTTTCAGAGTATTTTCTTTAGTTTTCAGTGTAGAGGTCTTTTGTTTCTTTTGTTAGATTGATTCCCAGATACTTCATTTTTTGGGGTGCTATTGTGAAAGGAATTGTTTCCCTAATTTCTTTCTCAGTGAGTCTGTTATTTGTGTACAAGAAGGCTGTTGATTTTTGGGTGTTGACCTTGTATCCAGCTACTCTGCTAAAAGTGTCAATTAAGTGGAGAAGTCTTTTGGTGGAGTTTTTTGGGTCTTCAATGTAGAGTATCATATCATCAGCAAACAGTGACAGTTTAACTTCTTCCTTTCCTATCTTTATTGCTTTAATTTCTTTTTCTTGTCTAATTGCTATGGCTAATGTTTCCAGAACTATATTGAAGAGGAGTGGGGATAGTGGACATCCTTGTCTTGTTCCTGATTATGGAATGAAGGTTTTCCATTTTTGACTTTTGAGTATGATGTCGACTCTTGGTTTTTCATAGATAGCCTATATCAAGTTGTGATAAAGATCATCTTTTTCAGTTTTCTACAGAATTTTTATCATGAATGGGTGTTGAATTTTGTCAGATGCTTTTTCTGCATCTATCAATAGGATCATGTGGTTCTTTTCCTTGACTTTGTTAATTTAGTGTATTATATTTATTGATTTACGTATGTTGAACCATCCTTGCATCCCTGGAGTAAATCCGACTTGATAAGGATGTATGGTCTTCTTGATGATCCTCTGTATTCTCTTTGCTAGTATCTTATTGAGGATTTTTATATCTATATTCATTAAGGAGATTGGCCTGTAGTTCTCTTTTTTAGTTACACCTTTCCCAGGTTTGGGAATCAAAATGATATTTGCTTCCAGCAATGAATTTGGAAGTATTTTTTCTCTTTCAATTTCATTGAAAAGTCTGAAGAGTAATGGCAGTAGATCTTCTCTAAATGTCTTGTAAAATTCAGCAGTGAATCCATCAGGATCTGAGGTTTTCTTTGTTGGTAAGTTTTTAATTACATTTTCAATTTCACTGATTGTGATTGGGGTGTTTAAAATATTTTTATCTTCTTTGTTCAACTTTGGTAATTCATAAGTATCTAGAAATCTGTCCATTTCTTCTGTGTTTTCCATTTTGTTAGAGTACAGGTTCTCATAGTATGTATTCATGATCCTCTGGATTTCTGTGGGAACTGTGACTTCTCCTTTTTCATTACTGATTGCATGATTCTGAGCCTTTTCTTTCTTTTTTTTGATAAGGTTTGCTAAGAGATTATCAATTTTATTTATTCTTTCAAAAAACCAACTCTTCAATTCATTTATTTTTTGTATCGTTTTCTTAGTTTCCATTGCATTGATTTCTGCTCTAATCTTTATAATTTCCTCTCTTGTTTGAGCTTTGGATTTTTCTTGCTCTTGTTTTTCTACGAGTCTAAGAGTCATCGTTAGGTTGTTTATTTGAGCTTGCTATTTTCCTAATGTGGGCATTCATTGCTATGAATTTTCCATGTAGAACTGCTTTCATTGTGTCCTATAGATTCCTGTATGTTGTATTGGCATTTTTGTTTATTTGTAAAAACTGTCTGATTTCTTCTTTAATTTCCTCTGTGATCCATTAATTGTTCAGGAGAGTGTTGTTCAATTTCCATGTGTTTGTGAAGTTCCTACGGTTTCTTATGCTATTGATCTCCAGCTTTATTGCACTGTGACCTGATAATATACAGGGAAAAACTTCAACTCTTTTGCATTTATTCAAACCTGTTTTGTGAGCTAGTATGTGATCTGTCTTGGAGAATGACCTATGTGCAGCTGAAAAGAATTTATATTCTGATTTTGTGGGGTGGAACACTCTATAGATGTCTAATATGTCCCTACATTCCAAAGCTTGGTTCAGTTCTAGTATTTCATTGTTGATTTTTTGCCTAGATGATCTGTCTGTTTGTGATGGGGTATTCAGATCCCCCACTACAATTGTATTAGTGGTTATTTGGTTTTTCATGTTACTTAATATTTGTTTTATATAGTTGGGGGCATTTATATTTGGTGCATATATGTTTATGATTGTCATTTCTTCCTCTTGAATTATTCCCTTTACAAGGATGTAGTGGCCTTCTTTGTCTCTCTTAATCAGTTTTGGTTTGAAGTTTGCCTTGTCTGCAAATAAGATTGCTACCCCTGCTTTTTTCTGGGCTCCTGTCACATGCAGAATTGTTTTCCATTCCTTCACTTTCAGTCTATGGGCTTCTTTTTGCACTAGGTGTGTTTCTTGTATACAACATATTGTTGGATTTTGCTTTTTAATCCATTCTGCCAATCTATTTCTCTTGATTGGTGAATTGAGGCCATTGACATTTATAGTTATAATTGATATGTACTGACATTATTGTCATGTTATTGTCCTTTTGTTGACTCTTTTTTTTATTTTTTGTCCTCTCCTTTTAGTTTTTTGCCTTGGCTATTTGATTTTCTCTGTTGGACCTCCTGGTGTTGTGATCTTTGTTGTCTTTTTCTAGGATATTGTTTAAAATTCTCTGTAGTGCTGGTTTAGTATTCATGAAGTTTCTCAAGTGTTCTTTGTCATGGAAGTATCTTATTTTTCCGTCCATTTTGAAAGAGAGTTTTGCAGGATGCTTCAGTCTTGGTTGTAGGTTGTTTTCTTTTAGGACTTGAAATACCTCACTCCAGGCTGTCCTTGACCTGAGGGTTTGTGTTGAAAAGTCTGTTGTGATTCTTGTGGGCTTTCCTTTGCATGTGATTTGTTTCTTTTCTCTTACTGCTTGTAGTATTTTGGTCTTGTGTTGGGTTTCTGGAATCTTGATTATTATATGTCTAGGTGTAGATTGATCATGGCTAGTTGGTGGCCTATATGCCTCACTTATCTGAATGTCAAATTCTTCCCCTCTGTTTGGGAAGTTTTCTGTCATTAAGTCTGTGAACAGCTTTTTTAAGTCATTTGTATTTTCTCCTGGTACTTCATAGATTCGTATCAGTCTTATGTTATTTTTCTTTGTGTCATCTAGGAGTTGTTGGATTGATTTCTCATGCTCCGTTACTGTTTTTAAGAGACCTCTCTTTTCATGGTCACTGTCTGCTATCCTGTCTTCTATAGCTGAGATTCTATCTTCGCAATCTTTTATTCTGTTGCTTATGATTTCAGTAGAGTTTTTAATCTCCTGTATATCTGTTTGAATCTGTTTAATGGATTTCATTTCTTTCCTGTGTTGGACATTCATTGTTTACATTTCTTTCTTAGGCTGGGCCTTCATGGCTTCTATTATGTTCCTTAGCTCATCTGTTTTTTTTTTGTCAGTTTCTGTTCTGGAGTCTCAAATCATGTCTTTTATTTTTCTCACCATCTCTATGGTTATCTTGGAAATAATTTCTGTTTTGAATTTTTCTAGAGCTTGATTGATCAGTTGTTTTACTTCCTGTGCTGTGAATTCTGAGTGTCCTGGAGGTTCACTATCTGATTTTTCATCCTCCTTTGCCTTACTGTTTGCCATTGGTGGACTGGAAGTCTGTTTTTGTGGCTTGCTTAAGTGTTTTCTCATCTTTATTTTTGCTGTTGGGTTGCCCTTGATTCTATCTCTGGGTCATTAAATCTTCCTGATATCGTTGCATCCCAGTCTTTGATTCTCTAATGACTTATAGACATTCTCATTTTCATAATTGAGAAAACAACTCATCAAATCAATCCCTATACTTTATCCCTATCGATACAATCAGGAACATAATAGGATCGATCAATCACCACCCTTTATAGCCTGCCATGCCTCTGCAGAGTGTGTCCAAGGACTGGCTCAGTCAGGGGATCTAATAGCGGGGGGGGGGGTGGCAGCCGGCTACCCTCCTGGCACTGTGTCAGAGCCAATCAGTGGCACCTGCTGGAAACAGTGGAGCTCCAGAGGAGGCCCGTAGTTCAGGCCGGACCGCGCAGCAGTGGTGGCTCTGAGTCCAAGCCAGAGCAATGATGTAAAACTCACCTGCCTGGAGCTTTGTCACAGCCAGTCAGTGGCACCTGCTGGAAACAGCACGGCTCCACAGGAGGCCCGTAGTTCAGGCCGCACCACGCAGCAGAGAGGTCTAGTGAAATTTAATAATAAGTTCAGGTTATTTTATTTTATTAATTTCTGTTTATTTTATTTGTGAAAAATAACCTGTAACTTTTGTGATGCAATCTATCAAAACTCTGATCAAGAGTACATGACATATAATCTTTATACTTCTCCAGGATTGACTGATATTCTTTCATAATACAAAATGGACATGTTTGGGACATTGAGGCTGAATAGTAAGAAAATGCCAAAAAATCTGCAAAATAAAAAACTGAAAAAGGAGAAATGTTAGCATATCAGAGGAAAATTCTGTGTGATAAAATGAAAAGATAAAAAAGATATCTTCTTATGATCAACTGTTCATAATACTGAAATGATAGACTTGAAAGAAGAAATAAAAGTAGAAGAAATTCCAGTAGTAGTTGAGATTATAATTCTATGGGTGGCATTGACAGAATTGACCAACATCTAAGAAGCTATCCCTGTAATCAAAAAGCAAGGATAAATGTTATAAAACGTTTATGCACCTTCTGGACTAAACAATATAGAACTTTTTGTTATTTATTCAAAATAAAGGTGTTCAAAATATCATTCACAATTTAAATGAGGTTTAATAGACCAAATAATTGAAAAATACAGGATAGCTAAAGGCCATCCAAGACATTCTTTATAAGTGGTCTTCACCATTATGTTTGGTGGGCAGACATTTTATTGAAATTATGCCACCCTCAGACAGAAAAGGAAAGGGCAACACAACAGTATAAAGTGTGTTTTTCAAAGAGAGATAACAATGCAAAAAGAATTCGCAAAGGGACTAGATACTACTGTCCACATTGCAGAGTTGCTCTATATATTGAATATTTTAAGATACATCATACACAGAAAAATTATTGAATAAATTTTATTAAATTATCATTTTTATGTTTCCTGTTATATTATAAAATTAATGAAAAAAGATGTAAGTTCTCGTCATCCTGTATTTAAATAATTGGACTGGTAAATGGTTAAAGAAATTCTTTGGAATAGTTCCTGGAGTTGAAGAACAATTGGAAAGGGAACAGGGGTAGGTAGAGATTTGTGTCATGATAAGCTTTGCTATGTGGCTAGGTATGGATTTTACCCATAGGTCAACATTTGTCATAGTGTGTTCCAGGAAATACTTCTCCAAAGTGTATGTGAACAACTAATTTATGAAATTAGCCTATTGATAACTAAACTCATTGAGTCAGAACACCGCAGCATACTAGAGCCCCTTTAAAGTTTTATGTTAAAAACTTGCTCAACTTTAACTTACTATTTCCAAATTTATTTGTGGAATTTCTCCCATAAAACATCTATAACTGTACTGTGTAGCATAATATAGGAAACATTACCTTGCATGTCAGAGTTATTAGAGGGCTTTGCGTAAACCTGTGTTTTTAGTATGCAAGTTAGCATTGAAGTAAGACCTTCCCCTATTATTTCTAAGCTTTACTGGAAATCTTTAGTATGATTTGAATACTTTTTAAATTTCTTGACTTTGATTTCATCTGCAGCATGATGAAAGCATTCGAAGGCACATGGAGCAAATTGAACAAAGAAAAGAAAAAGCTGCTGAGTTAAGCAGTGGGCGACATGCAAATACTGATTATGCTCCCAAGCTGACCCCTTATGAAAGAAAGAAGCAGTGTTCTCTCTGCAGTGCCATGGTAGGTTGTCATGTCAATATTGTGGTGTTATAATTTATTACTAAAGTTTATGAAACCATGGAATATAATCTAGTTTCTTAAAACACGTTAAGGTATCTGCTGAGTGCCATGGATTTCTTTAATGATTTTGAATGAAGAGTAAGTAGTAAAGGTATTGGCATTTAGGAATAGCAGTGTGAAGTTCCAGAGTATTTTGTTGCTACTAAAATGGATGTTTAGCTACTGAATGATCATTCAAGTCAATGTTTTTGAGTGTTGGAACCAAAAAAAAGTAAGGCAACATTTTCAGTGCTGAGACTTGAACCTTAAACTTAGAGGAAATGATTTTCTGTTAGATTGACTGTGATGGATAGCGTTCTCCCTCTGATCATACATCTTCGAAAGGATTCTCAGAATTATATGCTAAGGGAAATATTTTTAAACCTAATATGTAAATGGTAGAGTGATCGTAACTTGTATATAGTGTTTGTGTATTAAATGTGAAATATTTAAAATTAGGCTTAATGTTATGTTGATTTCACTGCTTTCAGATCTCTTCAGAGGTGTATCTTTTTAGCCATATTAAGGGGAAAAAACACCAGCAAGCAGTGAGAGAGAATAGCAGTATCCAAGGACGTGAGCTTTCAGATGAAGAAGTGGTAAGCATTACTCCTCACATACAGTTTGTTATCTGTGTGTCCTTCTGTTATAAAGAATTGTGGTCAATGTGTATTTTTGTGATTATTTAAAATTGTATGTAGTGCTTAATACTACAATGCAGTGTGCATTATATCATTTTGTCACACATACTAATTTAATAATTGTAGAAATAAAAATATAACATTATTTACATAAGTTTTGTGCAAGGAAAATGTAATATTTTGATATTTTAATAACACAAAACAGGAATTACTCGGCTATATACCTGATGTACTGGAAACAATTAACAATGTGTATTTCATGTAAGTGGATAATTGTGAACCCATAAATTGCTCATAGTTTTGGAAATCATTATTTGTTTACCTATGATTATTGTTAATGTGGAATTTAGATTTGTATAAATATGTTTATAAATATTGTTCTTTCATCTGTTACTGACTTGGATAGTATAGCTTAGTAATTTATGAATTTGTTTTATTGATACAAGAGCTGGGAATTTAGCTCAGGGGTGCCGCCGCCTGTCTCACAAGCACAAGGTCCTGAGTTTGATCCCCAGTACAAATAATAATGATGATGATGATGATAGAGAATTTCTAAAGCTACTCAAGAATGGGATTTCACACTTCTCAAACATCTCTTAGGATGCCCAGGAAAGATGAGTATGCGTTCTGTTAGGGGATTTACTGTGTGTAGGTGCATGTATCTGGTTAACTTTTAAAGTGTGCCATACATTAATTAGTAAAGTACATAAATCTCAAATACATAGCTACATTTTTATATAGCAATACAGTGATGTAATATCACCCAGATCAAGATATAAGTAATTTCTTGCTACCTAGATTCTGTGCCCCCTCCCAGTCATGTTCCTCAAAAGGTAACTACTCTGAGTTTTAGCACCATCAATCAGTCCTGCCCATTCTTGATCTTCATATAAATGCCATCATATGAATGTACTTTTTTGTGTCTGATTTCCTTCACTTATACTTAAGTCTGTAAGACATCTCTATTGTTTATGTGCAGCTGTAGTTAATTGTTTTTCTTAGATCTTTGTTGGTGCTCTCCAGGCAAGATCGTTGCAGTTTAATAAAATTGAGGTTATTGACTTTATAAAATAAGGCATACATTGTGGAAAGTGGTGGAGCTTCTCAGTAGGAAGATGCAAGGAAGGACTTGTAACGGAATCTGGCTTTATTAGATAATTAGGAGAATAGTCAGGTGATGAAGCTTGGCTCTGGCAAGCAGTAATTAATGTGGTTGGTTTTCTTAATAAATATTATCTAGACAGAAGGAATTAAGCTGCCCTTTTCTGTTGGATTTCTGGATATGTATTTGCGGGGAAATTGCACACCATTATTTGGACTGGCCTCTCTGTGAGTTCTTCCTTGGAGGAATTTTCCCTCAAGTTCCAACTGGTTGATATCTTTAAACTCCAGTTGTTGCTCCTAAGTTCCTGAAGCCTGACTTTCAGCTTCCATTATTCTCTCCTGACAAAAATCAGCATCTCCTCTTTTGGAAAATTCTGGAATAAATGTGGAGCTCACTTCATGTGCCGCTATTCTTAGGGGTCACACTCTAACAAGTACTGGCTATGTTGGCTGCTGCTGCACCTCCAAATAATTGCTTTGTGTATTTTGTACAACTTTATTGGAAAATCAGTCCTGCACAAGCCAGTTAGTTCACTGTAGCTGGATTTAAAACTCTGTAGTGTTTAATTCCTCTGTATTCATGTTTGACATAACGCTTGATGCAGTTAAGGTTAATGAGCTGAATTGTACTGAAGGTTATATACATTGGCTTGAAGGTATCATTGGAATGGGCCTTAAATTTCTCTTTTGTAAATACTTTTAATACAGATAAAATGGAACGTAGAACTAATTATTTATTTTAAATACCTCAATTTTTCACCTTTTATTCAAATTGAGTATTTTAAGAGATTTGTATGGATTTTTTTACTTAAATCTTTCTTGATATCTTTGTTTTCTATTTGAAGTTTAGAACTATAGTCATCTGCATATATGCTTTACTTTGAAAATATCTTAAAAATCAATTTTTATAAGTGAAAGAATTTGTGAAGATTACTGCTTTAATTATAAAGTAGTTCTCATCAAACAGAAATTCTTTCATTTATAAAAACTATTTGTAATTGGAATTCCTTAATCTAAAAGCTAAATATAATTTAGAAAAAAAATTAAATGTCTGGAGTATGCTATTATGTAAACTGAAAAATAAGTTTTATGTATTTTTATGTTAATGAGAAAGGATAAGGAAAGTATTAAATTATGGACCTTGAAAGAATGTGCAATAACAACTCATTTTTGTACTTGTCATAGTGATCTGATATTTAGTCACTGTAACTTGAGATTTGAGTGATATATTCATTTTATATACTGTTTCAGTTCAAAGGAATTAAATTTTCATTCATGTAGTTATTCTGGGTAATAGCTTCTTCTTCCTGAAAAAAATGTTCAATATAACATATGAGTTATGTGATATAGAAAGGCTATTTTATATTGCTCACATGGAAGTTTCATTTTAATCAGTGAAGATATCTATAATAAACACACATCTTCTACTTAAAGTTATTACTTGTCATCTGTGATGTCTTTATATTATATGCACCTTGTCTGTGACCTTTCTTCTTTGACATACAAGATTTTATTTATATCACCTCTGACCTAATAAAATTGTGCCTTTGACCCTGTGCTCTTGACATCTTGGATAACTTACTCTTGATCTTTGACACATTTTATTTTAAGCCTGTTAAATATAATAGGTAGCTCCTTAGTAAGAAAGCTTTATTGTTTTGTATTTTCATGAGAATTTAACTATGAAATTTTTCTAGTATTTCTTGAGATTTCATAGAAAGTTTTGTATGATTTTTTTTCTCTTTTATCATGTTATAATCAAATGATAAAAGTATTTAATTTTAATGATGAAAAATGAGTGATAGGTATAATTACATTGTAAAATTAAAATTTTTGTATTAATTGGTAGAGAAACAGTAAAATTGTGACACTTGATTTCCTTGTGGCACTGCTTTTACACTATCTAAAGAAGCTGTTAATATTTTTGGAGTTAAGTTACAAGAAGTACACTTAAACCTAACCTATGTGAGGTATGAAGTTAAATTAAGGGTTTTTTTTTTCAATTTCGAATCTATACTGTATTTGTGACACTTCTTTGTGTATTAATTAGCTGTTTAATTAAGTGTATTAGCTGTTAGACTATGTACTTACATATTGAAAAACAATTCTATTTGATTTTGAGAAGCTCATGACAAGATCTTCATGAAAGATCTTAACTATAATATATTGTGTACTTACAACCAAATGTGATTTTGAAAATAACCAAATTAGTATTTCTCTCTAGAAAAAGTAAGCTAATTGAGAAAAAAATTTTAAATTACGAAAAACAAAGACATCACTGTATTTTATGAAATATAAACTGATTTTTTTTCTTTTTATTGAGTTTATTGGTACAATCTATGTATACAATACAGTTACATTCATCCTTGGGATTCTGTACCTTTACATAATAGGCCTTGATTCTCATTTTTTCCCCTTGTCCCTGCCCTCCCTTCACCCTTCTCCTCCCCTCCCCATTTACAAGCACTTTATTTCCATTTTTTCAGTTTCTCATATTTTTTTTCCTCTCCCTTATTACCTTTCCCCCACCCTTCCCACTTTTCCTACACCTTTAGCCCTTTACTTCCTATTTCACATTATTAATTATCTCTTTAGGATCCTGTGTACTATTGTAGTTTTTCACACCAAAGAAACTATTCGGTATTTCAGTTAAATAAATCTCTATATGAACAAAATAGGGACTCTTAAAATAAAACTAAAGAGGAAAGTAAAAGAGAAAAGGCAATGATGTGACATTAAAATAATCCTTAATTCTGGAGATGAAAATGGTCCCTGAACATATTTAAATTGCTTCTTGCTCTTATAGTCTTATCTTATTCTTTTTTTCATTATTTAGAGAATACTTTCTTAGTTTCTGTAATCAAACCCACATAGATATGACCTTCCATATTTAGTATGATGTGTTACCCCTGTACACATGGAAAAAAAAAATAAA